ACACACAACAACAAAAAAAAAAAAAAAAAAAAAAAAAAAAACAAAAACCAACAAAACAAAACAAAAAAACCAACAACCACAAACAGTGGATCTAACATCCCTTGCAGCAATGAAAAGGAATTTTCTTTTGCCACAGTAGTTGTTTCTGTGAAAAATGACACAACCTATATTAACATGCAATTGTCATAGCTCGGATTCTGTATGAGTTGCAAACAGGCTTGATTTCTGTAGGAAAGTTCATTGAGGAGCAAATTATCCAATCTCTGCTTGTAATTCCATCTGTGGGTCATTGTAAAACCTTGCTGTCTTGGTGTGCTTCTCAGTGTCTTAACAATGTCCACCTCAGATGAACAAACACATTTTCTTTTCCTTGAACAGTGGTCAAATATGCAGGCTTTTCCCTTTCATTTTAGTTGTCATGTCACAAACTCTGGTATATGTAACATGATCCACTGGTTGAAATTAGCAGAGGAAAGGTTTTGCAGTCAGATCACATTTGCTCTCCATGTAAAATGATGAGCACCCACTTGGTCAAATAGTAGGAAAAGGCGCCTTTTTCTGGCCTTAATTTGAAATCATATTGAATCTTCGATGGACATTTTTTTGTTTCCTAAAGAAATACTTACTGGTTGCTGTAGGTGAAGATGCCTCACCTTCAGTGGATGTAGTGATGGGTTTAGTATCTGTCATGGTCAGGGTCACAGGTCGCACCGCACTGTGATGGGGAGAGGGTGCCAAAACTGGAGTAAAATGGCCAGGCACTTTCCCTACTACTTGACCACTGCTGTTAGGCTACAAAACAAAACAAAACCAAAAGAATGCCTTGTGAAATATATACATTGCATTTAAGGAACCTACCTACCTATCTTAGGGTTTTCCAAAATGCCCATTGCTGTAGTACCTGCATTTTGGAATGTGCTGTTATAGCGGCGCCATGAATTTATAGGAGATATTTGTCATCAGGCAGGTCTCTTCTCTGATAGGTAGGACATGCTTAAGTGGCGGTACTTTTTGGTAAGGCTTCTTTCCTTTTGAGTGCAACATGTGTCAGATAGTTTCAAAATATAATTGCTGTTCAGGCAGTGTCTGTGTACCAAAACTCAGCAGGAGTAAACTGACCAGGCAGAGGCCGTAATGTATGAAATATTAAGAGCAGATGACTGATATGAAATCCCTGTTTTTACATGCCATACTACTCTGGCTTGGAGGATAATCAAGACTTGACCATAGTTGTCCACAGAGATTACTCATACTGGAAGGCTAACTAATAATTCATATGGAATTTGGATTTGGACACAATGCACTACAATGCACACATCATAACATCTGGCCAAAAGCCATCTCCAAAAATGCAGAAGTGTTTCATAATGGGAACTCTCCAAGTCAAGAGCATAATAAGTAAGGACACTTCTTTCACAGATACAAGAGGCAGTGTGTGACCTTATGGTGCAGGTCATAAGGTAATATGCTACTTTATACATTTAGGTACATCTGAATTTGGCAAAGTTGACTAGTAAATGTATATGCTTATCCAGTGTTTAAGCATGCCTTAGACATTCTGCATGACTGTAAATATTCCAAAGGTAAATAACTTGCAATAAAAATCAGCTACCAGTAAATGTTTTTTCAACAGTGACTGATAACTTCTGTCTTAAACTGATTGTGTACTATATGAATCACAAGCAGTTTAAAAAAGCCATACAAATTATGAAATACTGGAAATCTTTTTATTGGAAGGATCTTGTCAGATTTAAGATAACTTAAAGACATGGACTGATAAAGGACCCAATTCAACTGATTCAAGGAAAGGTTAAAAGAGGTAGGGATGACTTTGGTAATGAAATAATAATCAGACTGAGACAATTAGTGCAAGTATGTGAGGAGTATAAACACATAGAAGAGGAAGGAATTATTTGGAAAATACAGGAAATACTTACTTGGGGTAATGGAATGAAACTGAGAAGGAGGAAATTTAAAACTAATAGCAAGAGAAAAGTCCTGGCAGTGTGATCTACTAGACTTTGCAAATGCACCCAGGGGAGAGTCGGAGACTCTTGTTTAGGACATCTGAAACTAGGCTATCAGAAAACACGAGAAAATATAAGTGCAAATGGAAATCAATCTGGTGTCCGCAGGAACACTGAAGAGTTAGCAGCCTATTTCCCTCCCTAAAATCACAAGCCTTACAATGAAAAATAACAGTAAAAATGCATACTAAATGGCTAACAAACTATCCTACTAAATGAGAAAAAGTCACTTCCTAAACATTACTCTTGTCAGTAAGATCTGCTTGCTGTGTTGGACTGGATTTTCACAATGTTTTTAGGAAGCCTACTGCAGAGGTAAACCCTCTCTCCTGTCCTGGCAGCTCAGCTGTCCACACAGCCTGCTGGAGGGAATACCACCTCTCAGTTGCATCAGGTGAAGTCACTGACCTGTGATCAGAGGGTTACCTTAGGAGCCTTAGCTTATGTGGTGTGCTAACATCACAAAAACAGTTGAGAAACCCTTACCAAAATCATCAACTTTTATTAAAAACTAAGAAAGCAGATTTCAGGGAGTGTGTATGGATTGAAAAAGGCAGTATCATCTGCTTAAAAAAGCAGCTGTCTCCAAAGACAGACTGGAATAAATGATAATAAATTAGAAGGACAGAGCAGGAGCCCAAGAAGATTACAGCACTATATTGTCCCATAGTGATCCCAATCCAATGGCTCACGTGGAGTCCACCTTAGCCTTTGTCCATATTGTCCAAATGAGCAAACCCTTTCCTTGTTCATTTATAAGACAAAGATTACACTTATACCCCATTCTCTTGTAAACCAGGTTTTTCCCTGTGCAATACACAATGGCAGTGTAATACATCACACACTTCATCCAAATAGAGGGTGAAATCCTGTTGACATCCACAGGGAATTCACTAGTGATTTTAGCAGATACAGTTTGTGACTCCCCACACACATTTCTTTCCTTTTTTTTTTTTTCCCCCAGTTTCTTCTTAAATGGTAGGTATTTCTCTAAATCTGTCTCACACATAAAACTGCAGACACAATCAGTTTATTTTCAATTCACACTTCTATGATTATCTTTGGAAACACAAAACTAAAAGCTTTTGAAATAAAGATCTATATCCTGGACTGTGATAGCTGATAGACATAGAAGCTCATGAACACTGACTGTCTTGGATATCTCAAGTCCTTTAACCTGCTTTAAGCTTTAGTCCAAAGAGGGAAGCCTTCTGCTCTGAAACAGCTCCTTCATAATCTTATTGAAAACTGCCATCTAGAAATAATTTCTGCGACCTGTTCTCCTTTTAACTTTTACAATTATGCCAAAAGATATTTTGGCATGGAAATTACACATATATATTTGGAGAGTATCTGCTTGAATTACAGGTACAAATATTTGCAATTAATTTAATAGAAATTAATTTTGTCCTTAGATAAAATAAGTTCTAGGTTCTAGTTCTGGTTTTCTCTGAAGAGATTCTTACAGACAACTGCATTACAGGTGAAAAATCAACTGTTACCATCAAATAGGGCATCAACATGCCTTTGTGATGGATTCACAGAGAGATGATGCCTGAGGCATAAACCTCAAGCAAATTTCACAGAGACAGCTGTGTTAGATAAACAAGCTGTACACTTGAAAACTGGAGAGGAAAAGAAGCAAACACGATGAAGGTCTGGCAAATTCAACCCTGATTTGTGCAGGTATACGTTTTTCTACTATTGGATTGGAGACTAATTTGATTTTCAGATGTGTTACATCTTCAAGTTTTTTAATCCATACGACCTTGAATTGCCACAGTTTAATTCATTCATGTGCCCAAAGCCACAGATGAGTTGTATTTGCTGTAGTAGCTGTAACATAACCAGAATATCAAATTGTTCCTATCTGATGGTGTGCACCATAAACATTTTCAGTTAATTTTCAGGTCTGAAGTCTGAATAGAAACCTGTAACAGACATGAATATGGAGTTCCTTAAAGTCAGAATTCACTACACCTTTTTCCCCTGATGGGATTTTACTAACTTATTTATAATCAGCAATTAATCAACCTCCTTTTGGACTTCTGTTTAAATATATGCCCAAATATCAGCACATTTACCCTTAGGTATTCAGTTACATTTCAGGACAGTGTTTTGTCATATAGATCACTATTTCCAGTGTTACAAAAGTCTTTACCATAGTAAAATGGCAACCACTAACATTTACAGATGAGATATCCAAACATAACAGAAATTTCACATACCTATTAAACAATTCACATAAAGTATTTGTTAAATTTTCAAATATATTTAATGTCTAAATCTGTACCTTTTTTAACAAAATAATTGTAATGATAACTTTAAAATCCAAATTAAAGAAATCAAATTCTATTTGGAATCTTAAATGCATAGCATCTTCAAATAAATAATTAAGAAAGGCCAAAAATCATCTTAATCTGTGCATATCCTAGATATATATTAAATTCCACCTAGTTACTACACTTGAACAATGATATATTTGCATCTCAAACCACAGGTTTTTAATAGAAATTCTGTGTTTCACAAGAAATTCTGTGTTTCTCCTTATTATAGCCAGGTGATCAACTGGATGCAGTGCATTTAGAAATACTGTCAACCATTTCCTCTCAACAACTCCACTCACTTGTAATGACAAAGTTCAGATACTATGCTGTAGAGTACCACTACAAAACCCTATAACAGTGTAGTTTTGACACCACTGATTGAATTAATTTTGTTGATGGAGTTATAGAAAATCCAGTTCTGCACATTTTGGTTCCCTGCTGACATACCAAATATCTTACTTTCACATTTATCTACACAAGCGTAAACCTGGAGATCATAGTTCACAGATCATAGTAACAGATCATCAAAAGTTCTGTCTGTGAGCCCATGTCCTTGTGCTCTGTGGTATCCACAGAGTGTGACTGATGTTTCAGAAAATCTACAAGTAAAAGAAACCAGTAGTATTGCTCATTTTTCTAACTCTCTCCTCTCTCCTTTCTGCCTAGGGCACCCTAATGCTAAATCACCTGTAAAAATCCTATGGCTATGTTATTATTCCAATGGAGACAGCTCACTGGTACAGCAGGCATTTTCACGTGCGGAACACATATACCCAAGTCATTACCTATCTGAGTAATAATAATTATAATGCCTTTGAGACTCTGCTAAACATAAGGGAATTGCATTATTAGAGTACCACCACTGAGCCTGTAGAAGGTATTTTAGGGCAGTTCCCCCTCAGGCTGAACCTGGTGGGTTCCAGAAAGCATTTGCTTAACAAGAAGCAAGACTATACAGGTTTCCTCTCTGCTATGGAACACTGTGATAGCAACAGTAATGTACTTCGCCTTTTGATAGTGCCCCTTACCACTTTTGATAAGGATGAATCTCCCTAGTTTCTGTACTAGGAATCTGAGTAACTCATTGTGACAGGACATCTTATACAGACCTCACTCTGAGATGTCATACAAAGGCTTCATCTGGTGTGACATGCAGCTACCTGTCTGAGGAATTAGAAAAAAACATGTTGTTGCCAGTTCTTGGCTGACAACATCCCTTCTGTACTGCTTTCTATAAGAAATCAAGGTGCTGACTTTGATCTATAAAGCTCTTAGTCTCATCCATTTGAGAAAGCCTTGATGAAATGCTGCAGAAACTTACAGCAACTGCACAGTTTCAGCAATCCAGGTTTAGACATGGATACCATAAGATATTCTAGAGTCCTCCATCTTGAAGTACAATTTTACTCAGCTTGTAAAATCTGAGTTCTTTGTCAACAGGTAGAGCACAAGGAAATACCCAGCTTTTCTTGTATATTTGCCTTAACAACAGGGTAAGTTTGTGTGACAGAAGCATGGGAAAGGAAATCCCTTTGTAGATAAATGTTCAAAAGATATCTTTATGTTACATGGTATTTCATGCACTCTGGAGACTTATACCTATGCATTTAGAGCAGACTATAAAAAGTTATCTGTTACAACCGCAATTAATCTTAAAATGCCTTGCTGATAGATAGCATTAAGCTAAGATTCTTTTGCTCTCTGCCTCCAAATCACAATGAAAAACTGCACGGTGTTTATTTAATCTCCAATAATTTCTTAAAAATTACAAGTAAGGATTTGCCCAAGAAGCTGAAAATAATTAAATGTCAACAAATAAAGGTGCTAGCTACACCAAAGAAACCACATTACTTTTTTTGGCTTATTCTGCTAGTACTTTCCCAAGAACAAATAGGAAATCCTTTGACCAGCCCAAACAGAACCTCATAAGATTCTCTTCTCAATGCTAAATGACTGTAGTAATTGTACTGAAGAATGACAAAGCATCTGCCTGATGTTCTTAAAGAGTGTGTATGTCTTTCATTGAACAGAAACTTGAATATCCCAATCAATTATGAGAGGAAAATAAGTGGCTTCTAGAAGCAATTCTCAAGCACTTCAGATATTTCTGTCTTCAGACAAAGATAAACCAACAAAAAAATAAAGCTGCAAACTAGCCCACATTGCAAGAAAGTATGTTTTACCAGGCCCAAGAATTTTAGTAGCCATACAGGTAGCAGTTCACTCTGACACCACATATGTAAGCCATTTATTGTAAGAGAAAAAGGGTCCAATATTTAACTCCTCCAAACTGGAGTTAGTTTTACCATATCACTGAAAATTGCATTTGTCATCAAAAATATCACAACATTTGATCTAACGTTACATATGAACTGTGCCCTTAAAATCCATATTCAAAGAGCTTGAAAGATTGTACACTTCTGTTTGCTTGGTTCAATCAGAAAAAAAATTCTCACTGATTACAGGATATTCTTCAGCAGAATTCACCTCAACTGTTTGCTTTACCATTTTTTCCTTCATCGCACTTGCTGATCTTTCTTCTATGATTCACCACACTTAACCAGGAAATTTTTCTGTTTAATTCAACAGTGCATTAAGTTGGAGCTTTTGGTTTTGTTTTCAGCCACACAAGTGGTGTTGTGCTTGATTTGTTCAGGCTCATTGGAAGCCTGATTTTGATACTATAAGCTGAGTCATACACTCTTGAGTATTAAAACATTTCAAGTGTGCACAGTGCATATTTATGTTTGTGTGTGTGTGTGTGCACATGTACATAGATACAAAGGTAATGTTTTTTAGGATTAAAAGATTCACCCATCTGGAATCATTCAAAAAGGAAATACATGCTTGAAATTTGTGGTAGCTTTGAAAACCTCAACACACTGTAGATCGATAAACACCGTAGGTCAGTTAGACCCATATGAATAAACTAGTTTTTGCTGAAACTTACAGTAACTAGTATCAGTTGAAGACACCTGCACACCATCATAACACAGATACATACTCACACACACAGTCTTAACAAGTAACATGAATGCATTGCTAAGAAGAAAAGCATTGAAATAAGTATAATAAAAAGGGTTCAGCTGAAATTCTCAATCAGTGGAAAGTGCAGCAGTTCTCAAAACCCTGGGAACTTTTCAGAGTACTAGTTGGAGACAAGTCCAGCTCTATAGCTAACAAGGTTCATTTCTGTTCAGTAGATTTGTTTGTTTATTCTCCAGATTGAGCAGGGGATAAAAAGCAGATATTCATGAAACCAACAGCCACAGCTCCCTTTTGTTTAGAACCATCCATTGTTGAATCATTTTTCACTGCAGCCAAAGGGCCTGTTTGAACTTCCTGACTGTTCATCACACATAATTTGGAGTATTTAACATTATATCAAGAAAATTGCCCACTGCTTCCCACCATGGAAACCTATGGGAGCTCTATATCTTTAAACTAATTTTACTTAAAGTATTCCATTGAATAGCATGACTGTCTCACTATAATCAGTGTAGCAGTAATGTAATTAATCTCAAAATTGCTGTGGGGATACAAGGCATCTCAGTTGCCTGTCGTAACAATCTAAATTAGCGTGTTACTGAAAGATGTTGGGAAGGAGCAGTTCATTTTAGGTAAATGCTGTCAGGGTATCCATCCTTTCTATTTCTACAGATGAAATTAAAATGATCATCATAGTTCTCCTTTTGAAATCAAAATGAGTATGTTTTGAGGTGAGAAAGTATAATTAAATTTGATGTGGTATTCCTACAGATGCAGTTTTGCATTTTATAATAATTAAATTTGTCTGAATAAAAATTCATGTTTTATTTAGAAAAGAAAAACTGGTTTGGCTCAAAGCATGCCATTGTATCAGAACAATTCCCTTTTGTCACTGAAACTTCACAGACGGTTGATTCTTTTCCTAAGCAAAAAATTAATCCTGCTGTTTTACTCTTTGTACAGTCAAACTTCAAGTGTTCTATTTAGGGATATTTTGACTGGGCATGCAACTACTCCAATGTACAGCAAATACCAGAGGCAAACTCTAAGGAATTAAATTTTAGAAAGATTCCACTAATAATGGTGATTAATGAAAATAAAATGTGGTGAATAGCTGATGCAGATGCCTGAAATGGCATACATGGTATTATTTACCCCATTCCCTCTTCTCAGGAACTAAATCCAACATCAAATGAAATTAAAAACCTTGCCCTAATATAAAGGCTACGAAAGCTGATTAAAGTGTTAAATTTAGGCCAGTTAGGTCTGTTATTCCCTATGGTAGCACGATACAAGTGTATGAAGTGTTTTCAGATGCTCTGAAAAAAATCAGCAGAGTAAAATTTCATCTTTTAAGGTCCAAAGATTAGTCTTTCAACCAGAGCTAAGAGAAGAGAGTTGAGCAATAAATTGAAGGTGTAACTCCTGCTCAGTTAATATACTCCCCAATGTTAAAATCCTAAGACAGCACATTTTTCAACTGTCTGAAAGATAGTTGGGGTTTTTTTTCAGTAATGATCCAAAGCAGAACATGAAACAATCCAGAGAGATTATCACCTAATCTGCTCTTTTAACATATATAAGAATTCAAAATGTAAGTAAAACAAGCACCGAATAATTAAAGAAAGGCATAACAGTAAGGGCCTGATTTAATTTGCATAATTTTCCCCCTAATAGTGCCTAATTAAGACATCAGTTTAAAAAAAAAAATCCAACAGAACTCTGAGATTTTCTGCACTGAATTAGCGCTAAGGACTTTTAATGGGTGTCTTAATTAGACTTTGTTATTCATGGAAATTTTACACAAATTAAAATCAGGTCCTGCATGCAACATTCCCAGCTGAGTCTCAGCAAAAACGCTATATGGGACTGAAAGACTTTTAATCCATGTGCAATTTGTATTCTAAAGTCGACATACTTCATGATCACTTTTTGGTTTAATTTGCATTAATACTGTAACTAACAAAAATCACAGTTAGGATTTCTCCCTTCAAAGTAAATTTTAGATTTTGGACCCACTGGTTCTTTTTGTTTTTTGCTTTTTGTTTTTGTGGGTTTTTTTCAATTAAATGCATAGAAAGTCATGCAGCTGGACCAGGGAATTAGCCCAAGGGGACAATAGCCACCATGACCTTCTGCAGAGCTCAAAGGATCTGTATCTGTTATTCAACATAGAAAGTTTGATTCAGTCTCAAGTTCTATTGCTGTTGTGTCCAAAATGAATGCTGAAAGGCCTGTCATTATTGATGAAAAACAAAACAAATGAAGCAAACAAACGAAACCCAAACCAAAATGCTGTCATAGCAACCCCTTCATTCCTGATAAGACAGTCCTTCCAAAGGAAACTAACTCTTAGGAGCAGAAAAACCTGACCATTGTCTCTTCAGTTTACATTCCCAAGGCTCTTCCAAAAAACATGCTAAAGCATAGGCAACAGGGTTCCACAAGAACCTTTCAGGCAAGGCATCAAAAATAAATAACAGCCTGAGCAGCAAGGATTACATTACAGTGACATTGGAAATATTCCAGGTATTGACAGACCAGGTCTCAACTGCAGTTTATCCTATAGTGCAGATCACATGCTAATGCTATGTGCTGGTGCTCTCATGGAAAGCAGTTCTGCACACAATCCTTCACAAATTACTTCATTAATGAAAAACATGTTAATTTTCTATATCAGAAACAAGACTAAATCAGCAGCTGCCAACAACGCATCTGCTACTGCATGTTCTCTACAAAAGCAAGGAAAAAAGAATTTGTGTGGCGGTGCTGTGCTCACTATGCAAAGAAACTTCAGGTGCCTATGGAACCAGGCAAGCATTACCTTGACAGAGTTTATTTTCATTGCCAGCCTATAAAATATACCATAACCATGTATGTGCTTGGAGATATATATATATATATATTTCAACGCATTCCTTGCTGCATCCTGCAGGAACTTTGCCTATGGTGGCCTTCATGAACAGAGGCACCAAGCCTGCAGAAGGAGTGCAGAACCAGGACTGCCCTGTTACTGCTACCAGGTTGTTCCATCAGTGAAGTATTTTTCTTACACTTGACAAAGCAGGTGGATATGATTACCCTGTACCCTTTATTCAACTGTGATTAACAGAAAAAGTTGTATCACTCATATACCATCTCCCAGATTTCTCTGAGACCGGAACTGGGGAGACCCAGTCTAGATGCCCTGGAATTCCTCATAGGATTTGTTATGGAGGGTTCGCATCTTTTTACAGTACCTGGCTAGTCTGCGGGCTGGACGGGTCGTAAGAAGGTACATAATTCTTCAGAGTATCCTGAGGATTCAGGTGGGGAGGATATCTGATCGTTGGATGAGAGAAGTAGCTAGATGGGGCAGGAGGGAGAATAGCTTGTGCTGGAAATGGCAATGGTGAAGGTGGAGGTGGAGTTCTAGTTGAGATGACTGGAGAAGATAAAATAAAATTAAAATTACTTCGCATCTTGTTTCTTCTAAAATTCTTCACCTCTGTGTTACAGCAAGAAAAATAAAAAGTCAGTTATTAATCAATACACTGCACTCCTGCTTCACGGCATTTTTATAGAAAAACCTACAGATCCTCCCCTCACATAATCCCAGGAAATGGAAAGTGCAACTGTTTCAAATTTGTAAATACTGTATCTTGTTTTGGGTTTATGAGTTATGTCATAATATTTAATCCATTTTGTTCTTTAAACAGTTATGGTTCTTCAGCATAAAAGGCACTTCAACTACACAGTTTTACCATCTGGAGCCCAAATAAAGAAATCAAATACTTGTTTAAAAAATAAACCCCACACTTTTATTCAAAGCACTATGACACTGAAGAAAGTAACCAAGACCCAAGGAACAGTTAGTGATTCCTCACTGTATTGCACTCTATCTGCCTCATCTGGGGACAGGGGAAAATGTCTACTTAGCAATATTGTTATGAATATTTGCTGACCCTTACGATAAAGCTCATGAACATCCAATTTCAGATCCTGGAAACCAATCCATCTACCAAAATTACCTCTGACAAACAAAAAAGTATCTACACTTTTCTTTTTACTTTGAATTCTCTTTCTTTCCATCTCCCACAAAGATACACTTCTACAGTTATAAACTGTGTGCAGTGTCTTAACAACTGGCATTGTTTTCATAGTGAAAGGAATGTACAGTACATCCTTCTGCTGCCCAGTTGTTGGTCTGGAAGTGAAGAATTTTCTTCTATCACACTCCACAAGAACACAGTTTCTACCCTTACTACACATCAAGAGAGCAACTACTTGGTGTAGTAAAAAAAGAGCTACTAAGTTCAATGGAAATGGAGAAAAGACATTTTCATTTTCATTAGTGGAGAAGTGTAAAACTGAGTCTTTATAAGCAAGGTTTTATTATAAACTGCTCATGGTTCTCTACTGTATCAGCATAAGGTGCTTTTCTGGACCACCTTTCACATCTCTGGGTTTTTCCAGCTTAATTTTTAGAGCTGACATAGCTATTTTTTGGGTGTTGCTCACTGACATAATAGGACAGCCTGAAAAAAAAAAAAAAAAAGTTTACTAGCAAGCAAATAGCTCACCTGCAATTTAGGTTATGACTCAAGTATGTATATTTGAAAATTATACTCTAAAGTAAATATAAAGATATACACACAGGTATAGGATCAAAAATAATTTCTTTGGGGCAGACTCATTTTAAACACAGCCCCACCAAGCTCAGTTTAAACATAAAATGCTATTTATTGCTCTGGCATGCCACAGCTGTGCAAAACAAACTCAAATGCACAGAAATCTATACCTTCCATTTCCCCCATTATCTTTGATGTGCTTGAGTATTTGCTGGTTGTGGAAACCTTACAGAGACCAGAATGAGCACAGCCCCATTTCCATAAAACAAAATAAGTGGATGTTAAGGGGAAAATAGTCTTTACACATTAACTGAATGATGGGAACTAGAAATCATGGAGAAATCATGAAACAGAAACTTCTCAAAACAGAACTGCATGTGAAAGAAAAGAAGAAAGTTTTCAAATCTGTTTTACTCCTCTAGTCACCCGGCTCTGCCCAAGAAATTAAGCCCTTTATATTCAGTTTTTAAGGAGACATGATGAGATGCTGAGGGGACACTTCTGAGGACCATGTTCTCAACTGAAAAATCAGGGTCAGTCTCACCTCTGAAATTAAACAGACCACGATGCTGCAATTTCCCTGTTGTCACTGATAGAGCCTCAAGACAACATGCATTCTATCATATTACAAGCATACAAGTATCTCCCTCACAATTTAAGTGAAGTTTTACTATGGATTTACTATGGATTTCAGAACAGGTGTTGAAAAATACTTATCAGGACTCTATGTCTTTAGACTAAGCATTCAAAATATGCACTGGTACTCTTTTCTTTGTGTGACAGAGAACATGGTTGTGACTTCTATGTACTAAATCATAGCTATTCGGTATTGATATGCAACACAGTCATTGCAACAATAATAAAAAAAGGATTTAGGTGAAAAGAAGTACAGGGACAGTTTTTCCTCTGTCAGTTTCTTCACGCAGTACACATTTTATTTTATTCACTGGTTAATCCTAAATCCTTTTCAGTTACTTTCAGCAGTCAGATTACCTGAACAGTTTAATGAACACTCCTGCAAGGATATCACAACCTTTTCCATTTTTACTCTCAATCGGTGTTATAAATGGGATTAGGTCTCTAAGAAAGTCTGAAAAAATGCATCACATTCTAATTATAATAAAGAACAGGGAGGTTTTTTCTTCCTCCTCCATAACCCTCACCACTGTGTGCAACTCCTGGGATTCCTGGATGGTGATGCTGGGGAAAAGTGCTCAGTCTTGGTGAAGAATCCTGAGGAGATGTAGGACTAAACAAAGGCTTTTCAGGTTTCTTCATTGTAGGAGAAGACATATCTGTAACAGAAAAACAACAAAAGGGTGACATTAGCTTAGAAGCCTGTCTCAGGACACATGATTTTGTAGACTGGAGGTATTTCTTTTTACTGTTCATGCATAAATATTTTTTGGTGACCCAACTCCCCTATGACCAATAAACTAATTTTAAACTATTGCTTTAAAACTTGAGAATTAATAATAATCCCATTACTGGTTTTTGTCCTGAAAAACAGAAACTACATTCCTTTCATACCAGACAAGTCAAACAGTGAAGAAACTTTGCTAGACACCTCTCAGCTCCCCAGAACATCACCAAATCATCTGCTCCTTCAACAGCCAGTTAATTTTATTGCACTTTTTAATGGAACACCTACACTCAGGTGTACAGGGTAACTGCCATACACATGCCAGTTTATGGTATTCATTATTGTGTTATTTCAAAACTTATCCCTTACCCTTCCCAAAACCACAGTGAAACAAGGTAACCTCCATAAGAACAAAGGATACTTTTAACTTCTCTATCTCATATTTTCTGTATCTGAAGAAAGTCCTTCCCACTTCTTCCTTCCAGTTTCCCAATCAACAAAAACATCTCTTTGGAGCTTACTATGTGAACGTAACACACTAGCAGAGACAAACGTATGATTTCTACCATGCAAGCTCATTGATATTTCATAGAGCAAAACTACTATATTTTTTCTGAAAGTTTAAGTTAATCAAACAACACTTGTTGGACTTTGAACCAAATTATTTAAAAGTTAATTACAATATTTTTGTAGGACACACATCCGTATTGTATTTGGGTTCCATTTCAAATCAACGGTACCCATGTTTAAAGCAAACGTCAGTTCTTAAGCACTTTACTGGACAGGAGCCACATTGCAACTGATTTTCCTACATGGACCATGTTAGCTTTAAAAGGATTTTTGACAATTTTAATATTGGCACACTGTATTTTACTATTCTGGGATACATGTATTCATCTCAGAAATCACATACAGGCCAGCAAAATTTGAATGTCTTATTAAAACCAAAGCAGATAAACACTTCCTGAACTGGCTAAAGATTAAGATTGGGTTTTCACCCTGAAAATAATACTTAGAGCAGGACCCATGAAACTGAGAATCTACTTCTATGGTCTGTCCCATCCCGCTGCCAATCCCTGTGTAGGCACCGGCACCAGTCCCCAAGCAGACTCTGGCTGTATACCTCCACCAATTCCCCTGCAACTCCTGCACTCCCCTTTGGCCTTAATGACTAAGTCTCATGATTGCTTGGATACCCTGCAAAGTTCACATCTTCACGAATGCTGTTGAAAAAGGTTTTAGTTCAGCAAAACCTTCAGTAAGAACAAAGAACTGCTCACAACAGAGCAATTCAGCAATCATTCTGTTTTAACAGATGTCAAAGGTTGTTCTTATGATTTTATTATACTGATCAGCTGCAATCTAATGTTATCAAAAACAGAGTGCTGACAGAGGCACCTCTAGTTGTCTTTAAAAATTTGGTAAATCAGTTATGTTGAAGAAGAAAATGGAGGAATATTTTGCTTCTTTGATTGGCTCAGCAGACAAAAAAAGAAAAACTTGTCAAATGCTTACAGTTTTGTTGGATATATTCTGCTAAGCTAAGAAATATTTTTTTAAATTGCAACACTGATTTTTTTTTCTTTTAAGTTGAGCTTTGCACAGGCAAACCATGATAAAAATTAATCCTGGAATGATTTTCAAACATTTCACTATGTTTTACTTTCTGCTGCAATGATAGCCCTAGCTTCTTCATATTAAGGCCCTAGACCCATCAGGGCAAGAAAATTCCCACACTTCCCCAACAGATGCGGAGTTTTACTAAAGTCCAGGACAAAATTAACCTTCATACTGTGGCTCTGTGCACACATAATCTGCCTCTGCAGAAATGCTACAATACTATAATCTGACAAAAAAAATGGGTGTCTAATAGCTTATAAACACCACCTCTGACTTCAACACCATGGCCATCAGAAATTGACATAGAATTTATCAGGGACCAAATATTTTAGTAACTCCACCACATAAAGTCTATTGCAAAAGAGAGAACACACAAACAGTTTATTTCAAATTAAAACTACTGCACTTAAGTCTCCCTAATGGGGAAAAAAAAACACCAACAAAACAAAACAAACAACCATTGACTGGAACTGGAACATCTTTGCCTTTTGTAAAGCTCATATTCAATAAAAGAACACATGAAAGAAAGACCTGCTTATCTCCTGAAGGTCTGCCTATGTCAGCAGCTCTGATCTCTGGAATTCAACAGAGATTTTGTTTGGTTGGTAACTGCTACTTCATCCAACACACAAAAGTTGTTGTGTTTTTCAAAACCAAAATATTGTACGTGCTCAAAGGAAGTGTGCTTTATGACATGCAATCTAATCACAGTATCCATTAACCTCTCAGTGCCATCACCAACTTGAGAAGGATATGCACAAAAGGTGATTGGTACCTATGATAATCGTAGCATCCACTTTAAAAATGTGTAATTTATTCCTGCCTCTGCTTTATATAAATAAGAACTGTAGCTAGTACACAGAAAACACAGAATAAAGTGCAAATAAAACTCAGTGAACTTCTCATAGAGCTGACTCCTTTCTCATCATGGTAACCTAAGCCTGGAAAATAAAACTCAGTACTGCCATAAAAATACTTGTTACTGACCAAAACAGCAGCTTATATGCTTGCCCAGCACACCACCACCACGTGATAACTTCAGAAGCCTTGTTATACATAGCAAAGGCAACTCCAAAGAATAACTCCTGAAGTGCAGGCAGCAGCTTCTTTGTTAAAACAATGCCCTTTGCATTGAGAAGTAATTCAGACAGTCTCTTTCCTCCACAACCCTCACAGCTCTCCCCATATGTCTGGCCATCATGATGGAGCATCCATGCTCCTGCCCCTGCCGAGTAATACATGAATATAAAAACAAAATACAGTAATACCTGAATACGAAACAAAAAGGAAAAAAAAAAAAATTAAAAATGCAAAGTGGTTTTTCAATGCCTTTTATTTTGCATAAGAAATGGTGCCTTTGAATATAGCACTTTAAATCAAAAAATCACAGAATATGCCCAGTTGGAAAGGATGCATTCAACAAGAGTCATACCAAGGATCCTTAAACAAAAGTAGAGTTAAAGTGACAGTGAGACTTCATATGATTTTACTGTTAGTTTCTATATAATAGAAATCACATACTTTTCTCATTTTAAAACGTCTTATTTTTTCCACATCATGTAATAAAGTCTAATAGTTACAGAGAACTTAGGTATATACTGATAATTACATAATGAATGACATAGTAAAAAAATAAGTCATTTGCTCTTATGACTGTGTTAAGGTTTCAGGAATGGAATTCCAATCCTTATTACTTTGAGAATTAAAATAAAACAGACTTTTGGGGAAAAAAAAAAAAAAGCTAAATACAGATGAAAAGCAGAAAGAAGCCAAAAGCACTTAGACAAAGTTATTGAAAGGTCAACATTAATCAGACCCCATGTCCCGTCCTGCCTAGAATTTTCTTCTAATGTTAAATTCTCAGTGCTGCTCCAAATCACTATTGCCTGTATTCTTATATTACTTTGAAGATGCAGCATGCATGCACTGAAATGCGTGGCCACATCAAAGTAAGAAGAGCTTATGCAAATAAAAATAGTTAAATCATCTCATCTCCCAACAAGGTAAATCTGTCTATATAGGAAGGCAGAAGAGCTGCTGTGAAGCATAGCATATGTAGACAGTTCATCAGCAGCTTGCACAAATGGTGCTCCAGATGCATAGCTGTTCAAGACAGCCCAAGGCAACAATTTTGATCAATTCTAATGTGATAAAATGCTGCGGGGAAAGTACAGAAATGTGTTTACATCAGCCTTTAATTAAACTGTTGTTCGTTTCCAAAGAACCTTAGGAAACACTAATGAGACATGAGTTTTGGCAATTTCCTCATCAAAGCAAAGACCCTCTTCCTCAGTCTGAAGCAGCGTGCCATCCAGGCAATTCCCGGAAGAATGTCACCTTGGCACACCACTTGGCAAAGCTACCTGTTAGAAAAAGTCAGCTGGAATTGAGCAGTGATCCAGAGCAAGTTTAAACATCCACCTGCCTGTTTCTAGATACATGACCTGCTCACCACCAAAACATAGCAGCTTCTCTATTTTGCTGATAACACATGCTTATGAGCAAAGTTAGAAGAATCCATAAAGACATATTAACTATTTTTTAATTCAGTTAATTCTTGAATTCTTCTTATTAATATATTTTCTACTGCTTAGTTTCACAAGTCTTTCTTTAGAAGGTACACTCTTGCAAACAACTTTGAAGATTTATTTACAACTTATTGGTGTAGCCTTATCTCCAGAAAAAGCAAAGTAAAACCACGTCCAATTTTACTGTATGTATCATCATAGTGAAAGAGGAAAACTATGGGGCCTATAGCACCTCTGTCAAGCTATAAGAGGCATCCTTTCATGCTACAGTTTTAAATTAACCGATTCTTTCCCAGAGGCAATAATTAGGAGGATTTCTGGTGTCAGGACACACTACATGCATCACTTCCACATGAACTTTCAGAATACTGTACTCTATTGCTGACTGACACATTCTTTGAGCTGTGTTAACCTTGCTGATTTTCTTTTCCTCAGCAGAAAAGGGTTTGGAAAACAGACAAAAAGGTTGAACCTACCTGCCCTTATATCTCCCAGCATATTTGGGGAGGGGGAGGATGGGGAGGCATGCTGGAAACTCAGATGAATCTCTCTATAAACAAATGTAGCATGCTTTTTGTTGGTGTTTGTGATTAACTGTATAAAGTTGGACAACCAAAATTCTCCATTACATTACTGATTATTATCCTACTTTTTAGGGACACAAAGCTAAATAACTCAGTATAGCTCCTGTTAAAATTATATGCACAAGCTTTTGAAAAGTATAATTCTAGTGCATGGTTGTTTAAGTTAGGGTAATTGGGAAACCTTCATACATGTTTCCTAA